CCGCGCCCCGGTCTCGGGCAGGCCTGCCGGGGAGTAAGGGAAGCGAAGACCACGCTTTCCCGCCCTGAGAAGCCGCCACCTTTGTCTCACGGCATCGGCTCTGTCAGCAGCCTCGGTGGCCCTGACCTGCAAACAGATGACGAAATGTGTTTCCAACCTTGGCAGCTCTGCTCACCGAGTGGTAAACAGGGATGCAATCATTGAGTATGTAGGATCCGGACTGGATGAGCCTGTCAAGGGTCCAGACAGAGCTGTGCACTCAGAGCTCACGGTCTCCATGGGGTGCCACCTCTCAGCGTCACCCAGGGTAGGAGACGAGTACATCTCACGCCCAGGTATTGGCTATTATTACCATTTTTTAAAAGTTGGCCGAATGGAGTCCTCCAACCTCATATCCTAAATCTCAGGCCGGTCTTTGGCATTTGTGTGGATAGCCGCAGATTCCTAACCTACCCTGTTGGTCTCTGCGCCCCAAGCGAGCATCCAGGGCTGGCAGCAGGAGCAGTCAACTAATGGCCCCATCCATCCAGTCAAGTTCCTCAGAAAAGGTCCTTCCAAGGGGACTCTTCCCAGAGCAAGGAGAACCCAAATGACCAAGGAGTCAGCCACGTAGCCCTGAGCACACTTGCAAGCAAGTCCGTTGGGAACCCAAGTGACGCAAATCGGACACACAGGTGAGAACAGGCCTGCTGGGAGCTCAAGTCCAAGTGCCCCACAGGACCCACAGGGAAACACCAAGCAGATCTCGCTATCGCTGGTGGGAGGGCACACTGGTTTGGCCTCTTGAGAAAGTAGAAACTAATAAAACACCCGTATGTGTCCATGGCTCATGACCCTGCATTTCCATTTCTGGAGAGATGCCTTAGAGTTAAACTCACACATGTGCCCAAGGAGACAATATCACAAGCTCGCTGCAACTTTATTTAAAATAGCAAACGTTTAAACTGAACATACATGTCCATGAGGAGGGAAGTGAATAAATAGAATGTGATATCTATGCTGTGGATTTGCCGTACAGCATTTAAAGAGAGTGGAGCTCCTCTACATCCACAGGGTTAGATGGATCTCGAAAGGATAATGTTGAGAAAAGCAAGTTCAAGGAAGATGTGGTAATTTTATATAGTCTACATTATATATAATTTTATAGAGGCTATACGTGTAGTGTAACACCGTTTACATACTTTTTTTTACAAACACGTAAAACCATCTGAAGTCTTAATATACGTGTGTAAGTTTAAAAAAACTGACTGCAAGGATATAGACTGAATTCTGATGGCTGTTCCTCTAAGAAGCAGTAAAATGGAGTGTGATGGAACTGCAAGAGGAAAAGATTTTTAACTTTATCTGCAATGTTCTATTTTTTTTCTAAAAGGTCATTGAAGCAAATATGACAGTCTATTAACCACGGTGTAATTCTGGGTGGTAAGAACATCAGCATTTGTACATTTTATAAGTAGAAAATTTTCTTTCCTTCGGGCAAAACAGCCAGGGGGAAGCATGTCAAACTAATAATTGGTCTTGGACTCAGCCTTGCAGACAGAGCTCCTGGGTGATTGGTTTGCTGTGAACGTCGGTAACTGACCTAATCCCAGAACCTCTAAAGATCATCATCAAGGAACACAGTGAAAAATGGGAAAATATACTCAAGCTGGCAGAGAGAATGCTTTTCCCCAATAAAACTGCCCAGGCTCTTCCAGTGACCACTGGCTTTGCAGTTTACAGAGGTACTTACTCATCTCTGCCATTCAGTGTGGTTTGCAAGCACATACTGAACCTGTAGTTGAAAAAATTGCTGCCAGATACCCAAAGAAATATGTGCCGAGTTACACACACAAAAAAAACTTGCACAAGGAATTTCAGCTCCACTACCTGTGATTTCCCCAAATGAGAACATTGCTAACTTTATCATTCATGTTTATCACCCTAGCCTTCTGTCTCTCAGTATGTACACCACACATGCATGATTTTCCTATTATCATATTTATATATGTATGATTTTTTTCTACTGTGATGTTTGAGAGTGAATAGCAAACAGGACACCCCTCTATGTGAGTTGCTTAAACCAAGGAGCTTCTGTTACATAACCACCGCACACTTACCAAAATCGGGACGTTGACATTGTTACGGTTCTGTTTTCTGGTCGACAGAACTTAATTGGCAGTTGTCTCCCTCCTGCCCTCCTCTGGTGCAGGGTCCTCCAGTATTACATGTTACGTTGACCTGGCCGGTCTTTCTGGTCTCTTTTAATCCAGGACAGTACCTTTCTCTTTGTCTTTCACACGTTGGCAGTTTTGTTGAATGTTTGTAGACCAGTTACTCTGTGGACTGTCTCCCCACCCCCACCCCCCGTTTCGGTGTGTCAGATGTTTCCTCAGGATAGATTCGGGAGTGCAGTTTGGGTTGGGACAGCACAGAAGTGATGCTGTGTCCTGCTCAGTACAGCTTATCAGGAGGCACAGAGCCATCTTCTGAAAACCTATCAGACCATCCTTCTCCCCTCTTAAACCCTGCAATGGTTTCCTATCTGTCACAGTCAGATGCATGAAATCCATGGCCAGCCAGGTCCTACATGAGACATCTGGTGCCTCCCTCTCTTCCTCATCTCGTGCCTCTCTCCCTGTAACTGCTGTAGCCACAAAACCTTTCTGAATCATTCCTCAGCCAGGTTCATTCCTGCCCCTGGGCCTTTGCACTTACCAGTCCCACTGCCGAAAATGCTCTTCCTCTGCATCTTTGGTTGACTGGCTCCTTCTCACCCTTCAGGTCGTCACCTCCTCAGGGAGGCCCACCCTGACCAACCTTGCACCACATCTGCCATTCCCCGTCTCAGCACTGCTCTGTTTTCTCCAGAGCACTTACCACTAACTGAAATTACCTTGCTTAATTATTCACATGCTTGCTTTTTTATCTTTCTCTCTCTTACTAGGATAAACTAGGTACCTTGTTTGTCAGGATATTCAAGGTATCTCAC